GTGAACGAGAGAGAAGAGCGTGTGAAAAAGACAACAACCCTACGATAAAAAANAAAAAAAAAAAAGGAAAAAATGAGAAAAAAATTATACACTACGTACTTATTTGGCTGGGCCAAAAAGAAGGACCTAGCCTGTGACTGATTCCTAGAAGCGTATAATGTAATAATTGTTTAATGGAGCGCGCTGCGCGACGAGTCATCGCGATTGCCGAGCGATGAACAGCGGGAATGATGATCAAGTTGGCGTGATAACTGCCACATACGAAGAGCCAACGATCGCGGGGACTAGAATTAACTCGAACGAGGAGAAACCGAAGGATTAACACCATTGTAACTGTACGTGTACGCCAACGAGACGATCAATTAATATCGAGGGAAGAAGAAAGAAACGGAGTGGTGGTAGGGAAATAATTAAACGGGGCTGTCGAAGAATTCGTGTAATTGCGGTGAATGATCGAGGAAAGGAAAAAGAGGACACGAAACTCGTTGCTCTCCGCCATTTTGAACATGGAACATGGACGATGATGGGCTTTGATCTTCCATACACACTTCATACCGTTTCAATTCCAATTCTCTATTATTCCAATCTTTCTTCCATCCATCATCGTATATACTTTTTATACTTTTCCTCGTGTCGAAAACGTTTATTCTTGGTAAAATTTTTCCTCGGTCGAACAGTTTCTTTGTATCGTCGATATAAAGATTTAGAGATCGAATCTCACTATTTTGCAGGAAGGTTCGACAACACGATTCGCGATTAGTCTCGCTCGAAAAATGAGGATCGTAAGAACTCTCCTCGTTGAAACACGGATGGAAACACGTATTTTTCGAACGATTGCTAACTTCGGATACTTTTTGTAACGCGAAACCAGCGGCGAATGCATTAAAAGCGTACGCAATTTTCGTGCCGACTTCGATTTTCCTCGGGAGAGGAATTCGAATGATACAAATCGATTGCCATTTTGCCAAGCTTCTTTTCCAGACTTAATTAACCATAGTTTACACTCGAAACTCTTCGAAACTTCGTGTTCTAATTAGGCAAATTAATATCGCTACCGATAAATACTTCTATCGTTTCTGACGTAATTCGAGATCTGCGCTTGCTGACGTAAATATCCTTTAATCGTTCTAATTGAACCGAACGTTGCGAACGTTTTATTTTTATTTTACCTCTTTTTCTACGATTTTATTTTTTTTCTTTTAAATTTTTTTTTTTTATATGTACGTTTCTCCGACCCGAATCGCCCATGTTCTCTCGCGAAACGTTTGGAAATTAATATTATAGTATGCGTGGTTGCTCCGGTTGGTAATTTTATACTTTAAAAGTAAATTATCTCTTCTCTTCTGGAATCGAATTACTGTTGATTCCTCTTGATCAATACGAAGTATTATTTAGGAGGAACGTCGAAGCGCGGAAATTTATTTTTTTACGAAGAAATTTAACAGATCACGATGAGCGATGAGGCGTCCTCGAGTTAACAAACGCGAATAACGTGTATATCCATTTGTTTCTTTTGCGTGAAATCATCATTACGTATCGCTGGCTAAAATTTCATACGAATCGACAGAGCCATCTCAAAAAAAGATGATTACGATGTGTACAATATTTATTCGTTGTATACTCGAATATAACATTTCTTCGATATTACTTAACATAACTCTTATTTTCTTGATTGGAGAGAAAGCCAGTAGAAGCGAGTAGAAGTCGCACCAAGATAATAAATATCGTCGAATTGGTTTGGGTTTTCAAACTCTCTTTTATCCTTTATCAACTGTCATTTTCTTGCGACCTTCGTAGCCGTAGAGATTAAACGAGGATCGAATTTCATATATCTATAGCCGCGATACCGAGCCGTGAGCTTACAATGAATAAATACACAATATACCGTACAGAGGGCGTTGCTTTCATCAAGCGTTGCTTGCTTATTTCTGTCATGGATGCTTAACCTCTTAACAAGTCCGCGTATCGATATATCATTTTCTCTCTGTTTTGATACGGATACGAATAATAGTGATTACACAGTGATGACTACAGTGTGTGCAAAAGAAACAAGTGAATATACTCTTTTAGATCGTGTGTGAAAAGACTTATAATCGTGATTATAGAGCAAGGAACGAGAGATAAATTCTTCGCGTATTTCTTCGATCGAAACATCGTTCGTGGCTCGTTACGTGATTGGCGCGAGAGTGTTTCGAGTTGAAAATTGGAACGTTTCAGGTAATATTATCGGTCTCGGGATGGACCTGACTCGTCGATGAGCACATTCACATTCATTTTATCGTTTCAGTTAGATCTCAGAGGATTATCGCGCAAAAGTATCGCTAAAGGCTTTTACCAATATACCAAGATAACTTGTACGAAAGCAGCACGTTTTCCATATTATCTAAGATAATTTATCGTGTCGTTATCGCGAGAATATTTTGTCCTCTAATTTCTCGTCGCGGGAACAAACGATCTATCTCGATCGTTCTCTGTTTGATGTTTTTTTTTTTAAGAGAATTTTTAATTTTTCATATATGTTTGTTTTGTCTTTCTTCCTTTTATATATATATATATATTTTTTTTCTTTTTTAAAATATTATTCGCGGTGAGGTGTTAATTCTTGTAAATTTTCCCGTGTTAATTTCACGTAGTGTTACGTAGTTATATCGATGCCATGTTGAATCGAGCATCGAGATTGTTGAAAAAGTTTTTTTTTTTTCTGTTTTCGTGTTCTCTTTGCCATATATTTTTGTCCAATATCACGGGACAACGACGTCTTTTCTTCGCAAACCACAATTCGAACGCACAAATGATACGTAAAAAAAAAAAAAGAAAAAAAAAGAACAAAGAAGACAGGAAAAGAGGTTGGGAGAGTGGAAAAAAGAAAGAAGAAAAATGGAAGTACACAGGAGAGAGAACGAACTTTTAAACATGATTGCAAAAATGTTTGCAAACACACACATCCGGACGAGTATCTCACTCTTAGTACATTAAATACGTAATTTGGTGTCAGGGTAGACTTTTTTCTATAGATTATAGAAGCCGTTATTGCTATTTACTTACTGTAGAATTCATGATGGGAAAAAAGAAAAAAAAGAAAAAAAAGAAAAAGAGGACTCTAGCAAGAAAAATCGAGAGAAAAATTACGGAACTTCAGGATTATATTAAATTTATTACCTAATTATTTTTTTTTTCTCTTCCCCCCGTTAAATACGATTCGTACAAAATATTCCTCTGTCTTTTCGACGATTCAAATTGGTGATTGGCGGTTTTCGAAGTGAATACATTTCGTATATCTATGTGGCTCTTCGTTGTTCATTCGGCCTAATGTTCGGATTTTTCAACGGGTTTTTCAAATTTTTCTCGTTGAAAAAAATAAATCGACTCGATGTTTTTGTTGAATATTTCTCTTTTTTGTTCTTTTTTGTTATATTAACGCGAGATTTTTAGCGCGGATCGTTAAGTTTTATCGAAATTGGAGAATTGTTTGTTATTAAGGAGTCTATATTCAAGGAAATACGATAATATGATAAAAGTGCGACGAATCGTCGAAATATAAACGCGATAAAAACGCATATACGTAATTCGACCAAGAGAAAAATCGTAATATCACTTGCTTTCCAGGAGAGCAAGGAATCTGTTGTACGAATCGTTGAGCGACTATCTATTTACGATGTAAAATCATAGTACACAGTACCGTATTATATATTATTATATAATAAAATAACTGAGTATGTTATAAAAATATATATATATATATATAGATGAACAATTGGAGAAG